CCTCCACACCGCGCCAACACACTTTCCTTCTTTTGTCCTCATTATCCCTTCCTTCTCTCCATCCAGCTATTTCAATATCTTTCCTCAACCTCAACACTGTAACTAGTACCTATAAGCCTCTTATTATAATATTTAATTATTATTTTGCTCTACTTTGCTTGAACTTTGGGATATTCAACTCTTAGTTTACCTTCACAACTTCTACTCTTTGTTTTTATCAATCTCTCCCTCACTATCTCATATCACAAGCCACTACTGCAACTTAATTTTTTTAAAATCATTTCTTTAACTTTCTATGTTCTTTCTAGTATATATTGTCTCCTTGTTTTCCATCATATGGTTAAAAAAAAAAACCAAAGTGCTGTAGTTGATGGATTGGGGAATGATGAGGGGCCCATTTTTTCAAAACGAATTTACTAAAATAATAAATAAAAATTGCAATTTTCAGTCAATTTTGTTTTTAATTCACAAAATTACAAACTTAGATCAAGAGCAAAACCTAAGTTAGGTGAATGGAGGCACTAGACTAAGACATCCTTAGCAAGCCCAAAATAAGAATCACATATCCAACGTAAAATCCTCATTAAATATCCTCTAATGCATGATGATCTTAGGCCAATCTACCAATCACACTGCATTTCTAAATTTTGATGCTTTATCCGACACGTTAGATGAATTATTCAGTAAACCCCAATCTCCAATCTCTCTAATAGCTTGAAATTTCCTCTACATCAATCGCAATGGTCATAACATGGGTCTAATTACTCCCCATTATTGAGGTCATATATCAGCCCATGCTAAAATACAAGGACATGCAAATGTTAAGCCCCTACTCAAACATTGAAGAACAAGATGATAAGGAAATAGCTTTGTAAAGCATGCTTAGTACCTAGAAGCTCAATTATGAGTGCAACATGCAAAGAGATAAAACAGTACCAGTTCATCTTTCTTTGACATTTTTCTAACAAAAGTCATAACTATATGCAAATGTAATTTGTGATGCAAAACAGTCATAGACATAAAAGACGTTAGTTTACTGATTTAATTCCTTTCACAATTAATTCATATATCAAAAAGTCACATTAGTTATGAGATCATGCGTAGGAAAATACATAATTTAATTCCTTTCACATTCAATTCATATATCAAAAAAGTCCCACTAGTTATGAGATCATCAGAATGAAAATACATCAAAGAATCTTCTTGTTTTAGTTTTTTCCTAACACCTGAAACTTGGATTGTGAATGGTAACTCTCACTTGATTAGTTTGAATTATTAACATATCAAAATCAGTCCCATTAGTTATAATTGATAAATGGGAGAAACTACACATCCAACAATCTTCTTTCAGTTTTTTCTAATTTCCAAAACTTTGGGTTATGATTGATAATAATCCAGATCACAAATCATACTTGATTAGTTTTTAATCATCTAGAGTTCACATCATGATAAGTTATTAATCCATTCCTTACACAAAAAAATTCAACATAGATCACAAACTACCCATAATTAGCACTCTTGACCACAAGTCAAGACATAATTTTTAACACAAACTCCTCTACAGAATACAGCACAAAGACAATGTTACATAACTAACTATCCTCAAATATAACAAATATCAATAAAACATGAAAAACAAAAATCCAAATATTTCACAAAAAATCAATTAAATAAAATGGCCAGAAGCAACTTAAGAAACAGGCATATCAAATCTTATAAACAACAATTAGTGAGAAATGTTAACTATTGACATTGATCATACGGCAACATTTATAAATAAATAAACATACCTTTGCAAAAGTACTAGCCAGATCATCCATGTCTGATAAAGATCCTAAACCTACAACCTGCTAATTAAATAGCAGGAAAATTAGAGCTGAAATAGTCATATTTCAAAATCTAGAGATACGGAGAGTTGAAAACAAGAGTTAAGCACACAATTGACTACTACATATAGGTGAAGGGACGGGCATCAATATCAATAACCTAAAAAAGTAAGGAAAAATAAAATAAAATCAATATGCATGAGTGCAGAAAACAATGGCATAAATTCCTTCACAACATGAACAAAGTGCAATAGAAAGCTAAATAATAACTGCTTCACCTGACACATAACAATAGAAATATAGGAATCACATGTTCTGTTAAAGCTTTAGTTTATGAGAGCATCTTTCTGCTTTCAGATATCCCTTGTCAACAATTAAAGCAACTATTTCTTTTTATCACATTTTACCCTAAATTTCAAATTTGAACATAAAATCATATCGCATTTACGAGGAAATATTAGTAGAATAAATATCAATAGTAAGATGTCTTCATACATCTTAATGTGCTCAAATTGATCACACATTAACAAAAATGAAACTTCAAATAGACAAAGTTACTAATTTTCAAATTGACAACTCCCTTCACTTGGGCAACAAAATTTGGAACACAAGCCAATTGGGGAAGCCTCAAAACCTAATTATTGTCTGACTAACTTGAATAAGTAGCAATTTTAAAATTTCAAACTGACAGGCGTAATCTTCTTTTTAAGCTTTTTAAAACATTAATATCCCAAATGACCGGAACTTTTTATTATTCAGATGAAGTATGCATGAATCAAATTTAAAGCCACCAAGCATACTAAGGCAAGTTCCAATCGCCAGGCGTTAATTTGACATTATGAGACAACTTAGACTACAGTTCAAGTGGCAAATAAGAAATTAAGGCCAACAAACTCCATGAAAAATTTTAGGCTCAGAACAAACTCCAATACAAATTACGTTTTAGGGTCATATTATGGAATGAAAAAGTAGCAGTAGCTACAATGCAATGCGGAAGGATCATTGCAAATGAAACTTCAATTCACCGAACAATTCATAATCAAAGGAATGAAATCTAACCTCTCCTCTATCAAACAAATGGTACTCATCATCTTCAGTGGATGCAAACACAGGATCATCCTCTTCACCATCTTCTAGACCCCCCAACTCTTCTTCCACAGCATTTTGACCAAAAAATTCGTACTGGGATGCATCAAAAAGCGCATTATCTGCCAAGACATGTAACTAATTAGCAATTAAACAGTACCATAGAATCCGATCAACCAAAATAACATAGCTTAACAAACCACCAAATCGTAAGAAACAGAGGAAAAAAAGGAACAAAAATCTCAACAAGAAAACAAGAAAAAAAAAAAAAGAAAAACTTTGTTTATTTGAAGGTAAACAAGTAATCAAGCAAAGACAGTAAAGCTAGTGGGTTAACGATTAAGACCCGTTTGGTAGCTGAGAAAATGAAGTAAAGATCCAAACTTTCCAAGGAAATTTATTTCCTTTCGCATCATAAAACAAGCTATTAAGTAAAAAGGAAAAAAAAAACGAAAAAGAAAACAAGCAAATAAAAGAATTGAAAAGAAAAATGAGCAAAGAAAAAAAAAAAAGAACCTGAGGAAGTTCGAGAGAAGTTGATGGGAAGTTTGCCATCGGATCTCTCCATATTTACAAAACCAACCTAAAAAGCAAACCCTAGACACAGAGAAGAAGAAGAAGAAGAATAAAAAGAAAGATAGGGTTTGGGTTTTTTTAATTAAGATGGAGGCATGATGGGGAGAAGGCTGAAGAGTGGCAAGTTTTGTAAATTAAGGGGATTAGGAGGGTTTTTGTTTAGGTTAAGGAAGGTAGACGAAAGAAAGGAGATCTCTCTCTCAGTTAGAGAGAGAGATGGCGGGGGGGAGGGTAGAGAAAGGGGAAGGAAAGGGGTGGGGGGGTTTGGTCGTAGTTTTTAAAGAACAAAAAACTAGTTTTGGGGATTTTATTAGTTGTGTGTTTTTGAGTGCACGCCGAGATTAAGGAGAGGCACATGACATGCGATGTGGTGGCTGAGAAAATGACGTTGATGACTGATGATATAGGCAGAAACCATTAATAATAATAATAAAAAAAAAGCATATTGCAAAAGCAAAGATTCCTCACCCAAAGTTATATTCTTTGTTTCCCTTCGCCAAATTTATAATTACAGAACATTGGACTTCGCAACTGCTAAAGGGTAAGAACATTTTTTGAATTATAAATTAAAAATTTATTTTAAATTTTTATTTTAATTATAATTAATTAATTTTTAAAATTTTTATTCAATTAAGTTTTTATTTAAATTAAAAATTGATATTATTAATTTTTTATTAATTAAAATAAAATTTCTCATGACATAAATTAAGTAATTAAAATTTATTATGTAAGATAATTAATAAAACTAAATTTTAAATAAAATAATTTTTCTCATTTTTTAAGATTTTTTTAAGAGTTAAAAATTGATTGATTAAATTTTATCAGTGATTAAATTCTATCCATTTAAAAGTTCAATTTAGTCAAAAATTAAAATAAAAAATAAAAAATTGTTTAATTATAATTAATTTTTAATTTTTAAATAATTATTAAATTATAATTTAAAGATATTTTTAACCCTTTAACCTAAATTTTTTGTCTAGCCATTTTTATTTACGTGATAAAACTCTATTTTTAAAATTTGTTATAGTTAGTTTTTATTAATGGATTTTTTTTTTTTTGGTTTTGTTACTCAAATTTTTTTTAAAGTTGAATTTTATATTAAAATCTTTTAAAAGTTGATTTTTTTTTTTTGAATGAATTGTTGTTTTTGTTTTTTGAAAAAAATATTTATTTTTTATTTTTTAATTTTTTTATAACATCGTTATTAGTAAACTTACATTGGCATTCGCTTAAATTTAGCTTATGTAAAAATAGAAACACACATTTTCTTTTACAAAAGTCATTAAGATAAAAAAAAAAAGTACAAATATTAAATATATTTTTTAAAAATAATTCTATGAACCAATCAAACTCAATTCAAAACATATAGTTTGTTATTTAATAAAATTACATATTTCATTCCTATAAAAAATTATATATTTCATATATAACCTTCAAAATATTGTTTAATTTTATATTCGAACTTGCTTTTTAATTTGTTTTTCTTTGGAAAGCACAAAACAAGTAACAAAAACCCCAATAAAACAAAACCTTGATTAAAGAACAAATAGTTGATTTGTCCATACCACAAGTTGAAAATAATTGAAGCAAACCCTAACATCTATCACAAAAGTCCAAAAGAATCAAAGCAATAAAAATACTTATAAAGATAACCTTTACAACTTTGTCCATCTTATTATATATTTCCTCCAACACAACATAATTTCTCTTGCAAAGTTTTGGACATATTCAAACATAATGGAGGCTTTCAGAAAAATTGAACACAACAATAATCGATTTAGAATGCTAGACTTTTAGTTCCATTGATTTGTTACAATGTCGAATGTGAAAAATAAATAAAAATTTTTTGACATCAGCTTTCCCACTTTTTATCATATTTGGTGAGGTATTACACTTAAAACCTGGCTTCTATGCAAGATCAAACTTTAATCCAAATTAAATCCATTCCAGCTGACTGCTTCCCACCTGCCCTGTTCTTCACTTTCCCCAACTTTTCCAGCAATGACAAAAGCAAAACATCAAACAAAAGAAAATGAATAGTTTGGCCATGCATAAACCATCAATCGTAAACTGTAACCACTAGAAACAAAATTTTACTTCTAAACAGAATTTGACGATCACATAAAACTATAATTAATCAAAGAAAACTATAATTAATCAAAGAACTGATTACAGAAAATTTGACAGTTTATGTTTTGTCATAATCCAAAATTACAAGAAATCTTGAGCTACCTCCCGGTTTGGCCTGAAGCATCATTAAAAAAAGAAATAACAAGAAAAAAGGGGGATGGGGGGATCATGTCATATATATAGAAGAATCCAGATGAGAAATAACACCTGAGGGTATGTTGATACAGGGATGCATATCATCTCTTGGCATGCTATGTTGTAGAAGTTCTTTTCTTTCGCATTGTCCAAAATGCAGCATGGTAATGGTTCTGCAAAGAGCATTGTGATAAGAAAGTAAACTTTTAGGACACAACATATTAGCTTCCACAAACTTCTGTATTTAACCGTATAAGTAGCATCATCAAGAAATAGACAGCTGGTACTAGCACAATCTAAGTGCAACATTCAGGTATAATGTTACTTGGTGTCTTTGATTGACACATGATCAACCAGCCAAGCACATGTGAGCATGGGCAAGAAGGAACTGGTGAACTGTTTGATTAAGAACATGAAAGCTTAACGTTTCATTATGAGAAGATTTTGAAATTACACCCCATTTGATGGAGATCTATCAATTGCAATATGCATTCTTATTAATATGGCATCACCATAGGAAGAAGAGCACCATTTCCATTCAAATTTAATTAGATAGAACATGAAGAACAGGCAATCTACCAGAGAACAGGGTTAAAAACCTTACTTGCATCATGGATCGAGGATTTGTAGTATAGGTTGTTTCAATGGTTTGTTCTTTCTGCAGTAATGAATATGTTACAGTATCACTCATAACTGTTCCGAGACATAATTGCCCAAAAATAAGTGGACAAAAATTTTCAAGGGACAAAGAAGAACAAAATGGTGGGTGCAAATGTTACCTCCAACTGAAATCCATAATGTAAAGCAATCTTCTTTACATCTTCCAAACTCAACTCAATTGACATCTCCTAAAAGGAGGAAAAGAGAGAAAAGGGGTAAGGGAGGAAGATAGGTGAGGATAGTGGAACAACAATAATGCCAGCCAATAGAACTTACATCTTCCTGCCCATACATATCTGCAAAGTGATAAAGTAGAGGTCCAAAGTTTATCCAAACCTACCATCCAACCAACTTTTAAGCCAATCCAGAAGCAATGTGAAAGATAAAATGAACACGACTGAAGGAAACTAAATAAAACCATGTTCAGGATAAGGAACTCACTCCCCCCTCCTTCAAAATTCTTGATATGATTTCAATGTACTCAATGATGTTGTGCGCTGTGTCAATAAAGAAACAAGTCACAACAGCATCCCAGACTCCTGCAGACAGCATAAATACACTCCATAAGGTTTTGCAATCCAGTATACATATATGGTACAGATAATATACATTTAGATCAGCATCTCCACGAGTGAGTGGGTATTGCAAGTTAGTACTGTATTTTCAACCTAAACTCGCCATTAGCAATGCAAAAATATGACAAAACATTTTATCCAAGTAAGCAGGCATAAAAAGCCGGTAACCTTGGGCTGACATACCAAGAATATTCACTTTGCTTTAAGCACAAACCTAAATCTGGTTCATGAACTTACTAGCTTCAAAAACTGCATAGTATGATTTTTATCCATGCAGTGATAAGAATATTTATAGTACAGGGGTAGCAATCAGTTCGGTTTTGGTCAAGTTCATTAACTATGTTGCTCCTACTCATTTTTCTTTAAGTACCCATTTCAGACTCATATCTGTCACCTCAAACTATGTAAGGATATGAGAATATGACCCTTCAAATATAGGGGAAATCTTAGGAACAACTGAAAGCACATGAGCAAACACCCCTATCGTCAACATTCACACCAAATTTCAAGAGAACTTGGGGACAATAGAATATGAACCTTCAAATATAGGGGAAATCTTAGGAACAACTGAAAGCACATGCAAACACATACCTATCTCCAAAATTCACACCAAATTTCAAGAGAACCAGGGACAATAGAACAAACTTTACTCAAACACATGCCCATGTCTGAGATTTGCACCTAATTTCAAGCACAAAGGTTCTTGATATTCAATTCATAAACTGAAAAGTAAAAACAACCAATTTGCAAACTAAACCAATCAAAGGCATTTAAAAGTTTGGTTACATAGGATCTTGTAGTCAAATAAAATAGAGATTAAGAAATAGAAGGAACATTCCATAAATGGAGATAACAGCTAACTCTGCACACAAATGCTAAATATATACATGCATTAGCCTTGCAGGTTTACATGCATTAGCCTTACACATTTACATGCATTTCTGTAAATTATGTATGCAGTCAATTCTTAGTGGTAAGTTTACCAAACACCTTTGCTGTCCATCTTTAGTAGGTTCTACTCCAAGAAACTATGTGGAAAAGATACAAAAAGCCAATATTTACATTGGCTTTGACATCAACTCATGGTGACCGAAAGGATGTAAACCTACTTAGATATAGGATTCTAGTTATGAATATGTTTTACAGGATATTTGAGAGGACTCTCAGAATGTGCAACATTCTTCTAACAACATTGGGATGGAAAAAATTAACATGGACTTTTACACAAATAGATAAGCATATGTTGGAAATTAGGTTCATTAAATCACTATATATACCAGAAAATTTTCCATACTGCAGTCCTGGTGTGGAATGTAGGCAACTCACAATAATCTCCTTCATTCAAGGATTAGTGCTAGCATTAGATGAGTATCAATAAGAAGATAGATTGCAAACCTATGGGATCATTGTCAGCCACAAAATGGCCTATGTTATCATACCATTTCAATCATTTTTAAAGGCAGTGGTCCTACCATGTCTCAGCCTTAAAGATAAGCTTTCTACTATATATATTATTTTATTATTTTAGTTAGCCTAATTAATTAATTAACACCATACAGTACAACAACAATCACAATATGTGCGGAACAAAGGTTGTCGGGAAGAGGAGCTATAGACATAATAAGTCACAGTATTTTTACCAATCTGGCTGGAATCATTATAGACTTCAACAAAATCCCCACCACACATAGAAAAACCTTCAGTAATCCCTGCACTGCCAACAACCAGAAAAGCCAATGGCAACTGAGAAATGAAAGTCAAATAAATATTGCGGAAAAAAAAACCAATTTAATCAACATACGTTTTATAAGCAGCAATACAAAGATTTGTCCATTAAAGTTTTGTGTAGGCTGATAGATGTAGAAACAATAGACTAGGCCTTTCTACTCATATGCTTGATTATATAGATCATTTTCTGCCACTAGAAGTTTCATAAAGAATAAAAATAAAAATAAATCAACAATTGACCATCATGGCAAAAAGCATCTCCCAAGCATTGGGGTTGAAAAACTAAGCCTCAGAAAGCATATTGCATAACAGGTTCAAGATAAGTAAATAACATAAACATGTAAAAGTTTTATGGGGAAAACACAGAAGCAAACAGTTGCTTAATACCTTGCCGGAAGAATATCCGGTATCAAAACAGGGCGAAGTTGATCATTGTCTGAAAGTGAATTGCAGTTGCTGTGGATCCAAGGATATATTGTCCATTGTCCAGTTGTTTGAGTACTGAAAATATGAAATAGAACAAATAAATAATGCAAGGCAGTTTATGCCTCTTGGGAGCATGAAGAGAATTGATGTAGCAGAAACTCCATCTGTACTAGGGGTGTAAATGAGACAGTTGTGCTACTCAAGCTTGAATCGGAAAAAACTTGAACTTGGCTGGTCACTGTTGAGCCAAGTTCAAGTTATCGAGTGAGCCAACTTCAAGTATCTTAATGCCCAGCTTGAGTGGCTCACGAACCTAATTGAGCCTTTCTATTTTTAATATAGATTTTTAATATTTTATTAGTAATTTATGAAATTACCCTCAATTTATATATATCTAAAAACCCTAATACTAGTCTTCAACTTATTTGCTTCCTCTCTCACTCTCCCTATCCCAAGCGGTGCCCCCTTCCTCTCTACCCCGATCCCATCCCAGCAGCCACCCCTTCCTTTCTTGCGTACTGCCTTGAGCCTTCATCAGCAAAATTTCTTCCTCCTCTCTCAAGTCCTAACCCCTACTAGCCAGCAGCCACCCCTTCCTTTCCCAGCCAGTGGCAGCAGCAGCAGCAACCAAGCATCAGCCTGTCATTTAACTTGTTATACCAGTTTGATGTATATACATATTTGTTCAGTAACATATTACATTTAGCAAAGTATCTGTATACTTTTTCACCTTGATTTCTGATTCAAAATCTCTAGCAATATTCACAGGTAAAAGATTTTGTTTCACGTTACCTGCCCACTTAAAAAGCTTACCTTCCTACCCCTTATTCTAAAGGAAAAAATGGATCAGATCTAAAGAATCTCCTCCTAATTGAAATCGACAAATCCCAATTTGATTAATTAGATTTAGTTTTTAAGTATTGTTCTATTGATTAATTAGATTGGGACTTCTTTTTTTTTTTTTTTGCTTAGAAATTGTAGGATTTGATTATTTGGATTTATTTTGCATATTGTATTGATTGATTAGATAGGGATTTCCAATTTTCTTTTGTTTAGAAATTTTTGGATTCAATTATGTATTTTTTTATACTATTATGATATTATTTTGAAAAGTATTATTATTTATTAGATCTTTCGGGCAAGTTCAAATAACTCGATTTTTTATCTCAAGTCAAGCTCGAGCTAAAAAAAAAAGAAATCGATCAAGCTCAAGCTCAAGCTGGTGCCTCGAGTTTGGAGCCAAGCTCAAGCTTTGTAGTGTTTCAGCTCAGCTCGATTAAACCCCTAATTTGTACATAAAGGTTATAGTATGCATAAAAGGACTAGTGAGGTAAAGTTCTTACTGATTAAGAATAAAACTTGAACATATCATCATGTAGTATGAAAATTCATTTCCCTGACTCATGAAACCTGTTTTATGAAATGAGAAGTGTTAAACACAATTTGAGTTTCTGTCAAGTCGAAGTGGTATCAGGTGGACATAAAATACATACCAAGGCATGAAATCTCTAGGGCTAGCCGCCCAAGTCCAGCACCAGGAACTAAACAGGCAGGAGGGCTGTTACAACAAAATAAATGGTTTTACTACAATAGTAAAACGGAATACAGTCGTATACCAAATGACAAAGCAATTTTATCATCACAGCAATTTTATCATCACAGTCATTAGATTCTTAAACAAGCAGTACTCTCAATAACCACAATATTAATGGTCTGTTACACTCAGAAAACAAAATGCATTTGCATACTAATAATGCTATCATCACAATCATTACATAAGAAAAAAGCAAGAAGTTTTGAAGTGTATGACAGGAATACATCCAAAGTAACAAATTAGAAGAAAAATTGTACCTCTCCTTGGAGCGATTGGGAAATAGGGCATCAAGCTCTTCAAGAATGGGCTTGTAGCACTGATAACGTTCTTTCTCTCCCTGTAATAAAGAAATTTCCATGGATATCAAAAGAACCATGGAAAAAGGAACTTACACAAGCTTGTCCTGAAATCACCCATAATGACTCCAAAACTGAAAATCAATTAAAATAAATAAATAAAAGCAATACCTCTGCTGCCCAATCTCTAATGATATTCCTTATTATACAACGGACCTGAAGCAATAAGAGAATTAGATATGAATTATGACATTTTTTGTGTAAATACAGCAAGTTTATAGAACATTAAAATGGTAGAAACAAGAGTAAAGACATTAGGGATCCAGAAATACCCCAAAAACAGATCATATTTACTAATTTACTACAAAACTTTAGAATATTTCTGTACAATTTATCTTGTTTAGTAACATATGCAACAAGTCCATATAGCCCTAAACAATAAAGAAATTACAGAATTAATAATCTATAATATATATATATAAGCATGGATGTGGAGAATCTTTTGAACTAAAAACAGACATATATGTTTATTATATTTTTGAATTGCCATTTTTAATGTTTATTATAAATATTTATAAGATTTATCCAATTCATAAATAAGAACTCTATTTCCATTGAAAGACTTTCTTTTAAATAATTTTATTTGTTAAATAAAAATGAGTTAAAGTTTACATTGATTTTTCTGTTACATTAATGTTAAAAGTAGTACTCTGTATAGCATATGATATATTAATGTACATGGAACAAACAATGTTAACATCCACTTTACTAATTTGAATTATTTGTACAATATACAACTTTATACTCTCTCTCTCTCTCTCTCTATATATATATATATACATTTTAGAGTTTTAATTTTACATTATCGTTAAAAGTAATGAACTTTATGTTACTCTCAAATATTTCATACATGAGACAAACTTTACATGTTAATATGCATTTAATTAATATTTACAATATATAACTATATATTCAATATATACTACTTCTATCCCATATATTATCCTAGTTTGACTTTTACTGGTCAAACTTTTTCAATTTTGACTTCATTTTATTTTAAATATATTACTAATTAAACTATAAAAAAATATTTTCCAAAAACCTTGGAATGAAGTGGTTTTCAAATATATTTTTATAAAAATTTAGTTTAATAAAATATTTAAAATATCAATGGTCAAAATTAAAAAAGTTTGACTGCAAAAAAGTCAAACCAGACATTATTTATGGCAGAGGGAGTATAATTTAAATACAGATAAAAATATAAGTATTCATGTGCAATGAACGTGAAAACAAATATTATTACTTATAAATATGTCAACTAAATCTTAATTCTTCCTACCTGGTGGTTTGCCATCATTGTGAAATTGAAGAAACCAATAAAAGTTTTAAATAAAACAAACTGTGATTCAGACAAAAAAAACAAGTGCTACGCCACTATCTAAAAGCTAAGGCATTTAAGAGGAAAGCAATCCACTATAATGAACCTAAAGAACTTCCAAACATATGAACTGGCAAATCTAGCATAAAGCATGGCGCTGGAACTCCAAACCAGAACACAACAGGAACCACAATATCATGTAGAATTAACTTTAACCAAACTGCTTTAAGGGGAAAAAAAACTTTTAGCAGCAGTCTACAAAATTTGCTACTCCCAGATGCAATTCCATTGGAAATAGGCAAGTCTCATGCTAAATCATTATGTGAACTCTACAAAAAGCAGCAATCAAAGTTTGACTATAAGAAAAGAAGTACCTTGAAATCAAAGTATTAATGTTCATTCTTCAAAGGTAATTCCTTTCTCCAACAATGACTTAATCACAAACAAATCAGTTTACTGAGGAACAAGTTATATCTTTTCCTTACCAACATTATGCGATGTGATTATGACATTCTAAAACCAGACAGATTATACAACTGGTTCTTTCCACTCATAAATTTATCTAGGATTTTCTCAAAATTATTCTCTTCCTGCAGACAACTAAACCTATTTAATCCTAGAAATTCCAAATACAAATTTCTAACTAAGGAAGCAAAGTGCAAGTTAGAATAACTTTATTTTATAAAACCTTATCACAATATTTGAAGAGATAAAACCAATAGATTTACCTGAGGTTGCGCAAAAGTTCTTAAGACTGACAATTCAATTCAAAACTCATCAGCAGCAGCACCAACATACCTTATCAATATCAACCAATGGAACATTCAACTGCAATGATGGACCCAACCAGTCATGTGGAGGTGAAAAAACCTGAATTTAAAACCAGACAGGCAGGGATAGTTAGGATACAATAGCAAACAACAAATAGTTTGTATATCATACTTGCACAAATTAGAGATGCCGATGACAAAGAGAGTGCATGGAAGGCTTGTCTATGAATCTAACATAAAACAAGAACTGGAAGGAAATTAAAAATATCATTTTGTTATTTTCTTTCTCCCCTACAAATACAGCAACATTGCAGTTATACAAAGAAAGTGCATGGAATGCTTGTCTATGACTCTAACAAAAAACAAGAACTGGAAGGAAATTAAAAATCATTTCTTTTCTTTCTCTCCTTCAAATACAGCAGCATGGCGGTTATCTATACATTTTTCAGAAATTACCAACCAACAAATTGGAAAGAATGCAAGAGAGGGAAAGGGCAAAGCATTAGAAAAAGATAGACATCTTTTGATAAGACTCTTCAATGAGGGGCTGTTAGGCAAAGCGTAGAAAAAGGAAAATAAAAGGAAAAAGAAAAGGGAAGTGGGTGGCAAGGGGTGTAGACAGTAAAGCAAAGAAAAGGAAAGTTCACTAGCCCTAAATATCAAAGAAATATGAAATTCAGAAATTTGGGGAAAGAAATCATGGTTTCTTAACGGGAAGGGGGGATTTGAATCCTGCTCTTTGACTAGAGAATCATGCAACAACCAATTGAGACAAACGCCAGGGTGCACAAAGAAATCATGATATATCAGAAGACACTGCCACTATTTTTTTTTTGTTACAAACACCACACCTAATTAACTAAGAGCTTGTTCATCTTTAAGCACTTCTTTACAAATACAAAACTGAATTTTCATCTAGTCAACATCCTACCTCTCACTTTTCTTGGTGATAGATAAACATTATGAAAAGGAAAAAAAAGTATTACATTCCCATTAGAATCAGTAACATCATTTCCACAGCATTCAGCTATCTCTTCGTTATTTCCCACTTCTCCAGCGCAGCTTCCAGAAATGGGCTCATGTTGATGATCACTTTGCACCTCCTGCACTTATCTACAAAAGTCAAATTTCTATATGAAAAGGAAATAAATTAAGAACCAATCAAATGTTGGAGTATGGATACTTGTTATCCATTAAACAAGTAAATAGAGTTAATTATATGTTGCAAAGACCTCATGAGTAGTCACCTCTGTTGTTGGATTGCTCATTATGCTGCTTCTTTCCTGAGAACAAGTTTGAGCATGGTTGGAACAACACACTCTTCCACTGGTTGATGCAGACTGACAAGAGGAAGCATTTCTCTCCTCAGACTGGCAATGGTCATGATCAAAGTTTTCTAGGTTTGGATCCTCACAATTATCCACATCCTGGCTCATATCTAAAGGAGGTTCAAATGCCTGTCAAACAAATTAATAATTATAGCATTGTATGATATCTTCTTCCAAATTATCTCACCTCTTGAGAGAGTGAATTAGTGGAGAAATAGAAATGTACTATGGTGCACCTGAAGCATGTTAAATATGAAATATGAATTCACAGAAATACACCTGCAGCAATAAATGCAAGAAATTATAATTTGTCAAGATGTCAAAAACAGATTTAATACACACCACAACAATTTCCTTTTCCCTGAAAGGTTTAAGCATGAATATAGTCCATGTACTTATACAAATTGTTTAAAAGAAGCAAATTAGTCCTTGTACTTTCAAACAAAGGTTTCATCATTTTGAGCAACCAACCAAAAATAAGTTTCAAGTTAAGATTTACCAACTGTTTCTCAATTAAGGGAGCATAAACTGAAACCGGATTACTAAACCAAAAAAAAAAAAGCAAATAGAAAAATTACCTTCTCAAACTTTGGAATTTTAAAGGATAGTGAGACAGTAAAGCCTGAAAAGAACATAAACAAATTGAGGACATTAAAAAGCAAGGATAAGAAAAGTAACCATTTAAAAGGAGAAAATTTTGTACAAAAAAAAGGCTGCTTTTCTACTGAAGATTTTGCAGCATATAAGAATATTTAAATGACAGTATATCTTTAGAGAAGGGCAGTACAATTCCAAGCAATGTTATGTGTAAAGTATGATGAACAAAAGTCAAGAAACCCAATTGGAATACTGAGACAAATAAATAGACACTTATTCTCCATAAGCGTGCCTGGCCATTTTCTCACTCCAATTAAGGAGATTACTCAAACATTTCCTCTTTCTCCTTCTTGATCCCCCCCCCCCCCCCTTCTCTTTTCTGACACTTAGCATGGTAGCAAGAATCTTCCCCTTAAACAATGACATCATTCAGGAGAAGTATCCTAATTTTCAGTTTCTCCTGTTGGGTTCAAAAATACCCTTTGCTTTCACCCTTGCAACAGCCAAGTTCCCTTTTCTTCATAGAAATAGGAAGGCACATTTTCATCCTCAAAGCACATAATTGCAAAAGTGTCAGTTATGACTAGATAGATTGATATACCAAGTTGTCCCAAGCAATGTTTCAGTTTCTAAACCTTAGCAGCACATTTAATAAATGTTTCCTAATGGAAAATTCACATATCCATCACAGTTGCCTAGATGAGAAGCGCACCAGCTCCCTTCTTATAACGATTTATTAATGTCAATTTCAATAAAATTTCCTCTTTGGCTTGCTTTAGATTCAAAGATAAGGGCTACATCTTATTAACAATTAAAAAGACCTAATCCCAGTATTGAATGAAGAAAGGTACTATTATTTTATATTCTACTTTTTTCACAAAATATTATGGCTAATCATCATAATGAACACAGTCTTGAGCACATTAGAGTGTTAAAAGATGGTACTCAACAGTATACAAATTTCTAGAGATCACTTGCAGCTAAAAATAAATTTAACCATTAGCCAAGCAAGAAAGAGCACCTTGTGAGCAGGTGGAAGTTTCTTAAAAGATCTTTCATATCTTCTGATATCCTCTTCTGCTGCCTCAGGATAACTCCATAAATTTTCCATGCAAGAAAACAAAAAATATCATTGATAAGAGAAAGAGGGTGGCATAGAAAGTTAAAAATTGTCTATTGATAGAGATCATTGATAGTTTATGCAGTCTGAAACCCTCTTTACCATTTAAGGTTATGCCATTCCTTCAATATTCCCTTTAGCTCTTGAAACTAAAGGTAAAAATTTGAAATATAGAACCACAGAATATTTATGGAAAATTAAATGCTCAGTTTTTTTAATAGAAAATTGTATAATTCATTGATTTTTCCTTTAGGACTATTATTTTCTATGCATCGGCAGTGCACAATTTTCTTTACCCTTTAGGACTATTATTTTCTATACATCAGCAGTGCACAACTTTCTTTACTTCTTTATAAAAAGTTTGAATGCGTCTAATATTTTAGTCGAGTTTAACCAAACACATAATTTCTTTTTTTCCTTTTAAAACCTTTTTTTTTTAAGAAGCAAGAGGCAAATAACAAATAGCAAGTAGCAAAACCGCAAAAACAACAATCAAAGAGAGGCTAAAAGAATCAGAGTATCGTAACCAGAGGCATGTGAAGAATAATCGATGGCAGACCATATAAACTGAGCAACAACAGTAGAATTTGCACATTAAATAACTAGAAATCTATGCTTTGTTAGGTAGGAGGATGGGAAAAAGGAAATATGAAATATTTTTAATCTAACGGTTGAGATTCAAAACAATCTGGTCTATTTTGTAACTCAAACATTAGATTAAAACCTTTTCTTTCCTTCCTACCCACGTAAGTGTAAATGTGCATACCAATGTAATGGAGAACCTGATATTTACAAGAAATATACTTAAAATCACAACAATATCTCAGTCTCACCTTCACTTTCAGCTTTAAGCACCACAAATTCATCTATTCATGGATGCAAATCATTTTCAGTTCAGCCTTCAAATTAAAATTTATTTTTTATTTTATACATTGCAAATTTTTTTCCTAAAAAGATTAAAAATAAAAAATTGAATCTACTCAAATTTGATCGAGGATTCCCGATAGAGAAAACATACAAAAAATATATATAGTAAAAAAAAAGGGAGAAAGAAAAGAGAGAAATGGAAAACGTACTTGAGGTAGGCACTGATAATACGGCGAAGGGATTTGACTTCAAGAGCTTCTTCAAGCTTCCTTTGACGACGTCGTTCTTCGTCTTCTTCAACCTCCCCGGACATTTGCTCCTTCTTTCTCTTTCTCACTGATCGCAAATCCGCCCTTTCTGAGCAGAGCCCAAAAGTGTTTATGTATGCGTGCGATGCGATGTGCCCCAGTTACTTACGACTACTACTGTGCGAAGAACTTTTAGACCTAGATATTTGGTCCTTTTTTATTTTTTTTGTTTTCACTTTCCCCGTATAAAGGTTTTTAACATGAGTAAAAAAAAAAATACTTTTAACTCTTTTTGGTGAAATATTTTTTTAATTAAAAAATTTTTCACACTACTTCCTAAAGAAAACAATTAAGATTTTCACTATTTTTTTAATAATGAAAAGATATTTTATAACATGCTCATCCTAACTAAAATTATACTCCGTATAGATTTTTTATTCAAAATTATATTTATAAAAGTGATTTTAAATCATATATATTATATTATAATATACATAGTTAATTATTATTGATGTGAATATTTATGTAAATAACTTTTTTTCATAAAATAATTTTTAAAACTTTTTATTATTAGAATATATAAGATATTTATTAATTTTAAATTATTTATAAAAAATATATTTTAAAAATTATTAAATTATCTAAAATTTTAAAACTTAATCAAAAACTAATTTAAATTCCAATGAAATTCATTTCTCTTGTACATCATCACATCTCAATTTAAAATCAATTTTAAAGTAATTTATCTTTTCTAAATTATTTACAGGTAATATGAATATTTATATATATCGTAACTTTTAAAAATATTATTTTATATTTTTAATATTTTTTATAAATAATCATTACATGATCTTAGTTTTTTAATATATTTCACAAAAAAAAATCTAATATATACATATATTATATAACAATATATATAAACAACTTTGCCACAACACAACTCTATGAAATGACAAATAGGATAATTTTTTTAAAAAAATAAGATAATTATTTTAATTACAAATTAAATAATTTTAAATTTATTTAAATATCAAAATTATTCAATTTATAGTTGAAAATCAAATCAATTTAGAGATATATTTTTAAAAAAGTAAAAATATAAAATATAGATTTTTTTTTAATAAATAATTTTAGTTGTTTACCAAATAACCTTATTTAAAAAATTATTTAATTATCAAAATCTTTCAAATATATTTAAAAATTGTAAAGATTAAGTTTATCCAAATCTTTTGACAATCTTTTTTATTTTAATTTAAAAAATTTACGTAAAACATTGAAAATTTAAGCAATTTCATGTAACATTTTGAAAATTAAAAAAATATCATCTTAAATTTTTAAATGGTAAGATCATCAAAAAGATTATATCCATTTAAACTCTAATTATTAAATTTATATTTCAAATAAATGCAAAAAATTTAATATTACCTTTATCACTTATTATATCCATTTTAAATTTTAAAAAATTAATTTAAAAATTATTTATTTAATCCTAATTGACACTAAAGAATTTTTTTGCAAATTTAATACTACAAATGTAATGTGCTATACATCATTTTTTTTATTTTTTTAGTAATTTTTTAAGATATATTTTATTACTATTGCAATTTTTTTGTTTAATTATAACTTTTTTCCAAGATATATTTTATTGTTATTACCGTTTCATTCTTATAAAAAATAATATTATTTATTTTTTTTTCACATATTTTCTAACATTTTTCATATTTTGCATAATAATTTAGTCAAGATTACAAATGTGAAAGTATGTTAATTTTTTTATTATTTAATTTATCATTCAGTAATATATATATTTTTTAAAGAAAGGCATAATTTTTTTTTATTTGATATAATCTTATAGGTGTATAAATATTATTGCAAATAAAAATATCCAAAAAAAAGACATAATTTTTTTCTTGTTGTTTGCATAAAGTTTTTTTTTTAATAACGAGTTAATATATATAAATTTTATATATGCTATGAGTTTTAAATATTTGAATATAATTTTGAAAAAAGACTAATATATATATATATATATATTCATATTAAATAAGTAAAATTTTTTTGTGCATCGCACAAGTTATAATCTAGTGATATAAATAAAACTTCAAAAAAGCCCTTTATTATTGTTAATTTTTAATTATATAGTTTCCCCAATGTCACATGAATTATATGAGCTAAATATATTTTTCTTACTATTATTAATCTTTTTTTTATTAGTCTATTCTTGCTATAAGAACTAATATATATATTTTTTTATGTTAGGTACTATTTCACTAAACATACTATTCACTACATCATGTAGGATTTTTTTTTTTTCAAATCAATTGTAATATTTCTTTTTTTTATTTCTCAATTCATAATAAATTTAATTAGAACCCACTTAAGCTAATATCTTTTTTGTTATGATTTAAAAACAAATAAAAAATAAATTTAATAAATTTGTTTCATTTATTTATACAGATAAAATCACAGTGCACAATAGGAGAAAAAATTCACCTATCAAGGTAAGAATTATGGATTTACTTTTACTACCAACAAGAGAAAAAGTTCACCTATTAAGATACTATAATGCAAATCGACATAAGGTATGAATGGCATTATTTGTCATATACGGTGCATAAAAAAAAAAGGTGTTAGAAGTTGATGGAGGTTATGCTTGCAAGGATTGTGTACATGAAACCCAACTTCCAATAGTAAGGTATCATTAAATTTCATCATCATTATATGTCAATTTAAGTAAAATTTATTGAGATATTTTTAAATAAATAATTTTTAAAACATAATCATTTGGATTTTTTTTTTCATTTTTTTCAATTGAAGGTAAGTTTGATTATTATTAATAATCCATCATAGGTACAAGTTAATTGTCAAGATATTGAATGAGCTTGGCAATGCACCATTTATTCTTTTTTATGAAAAAGCTAATTGAAACCTAGAGTATACAGTTGAACAGTTATTTCAAATGAAAAACGAGGTTATATCATATTCAAAATAATTTTTTAAATTCGAATAAATGTCAATGTTATTTAATTAAATTTATATTAAAACTTACTCATAGGAATATGAAGATGACAAAGTGGAAAAAATATTGGAAGAGCTGATAAGCTGTTCATATATTTTTAAAGCAAAACTCAATGATTACAATTTTTTTTATGAAAGTTCAAGATTGATTGTTACACATATTTATAAGATACATTATGTATAAGAAAATCAGTATTTACTTGAAAAATACAAAAGGTAAGTAGTTTAATACATTTCATTAAAATTTTTTGCCAATAATTTTCTTAAATAATTGTTTATAATTTAATACTATTACTTACTCAAAATTTAAAACTAGTTCACTTCAATTTTTACAAGAACATAATTTTGATATTACTAAATTATTTGGAAACTATATAAATGTTTGGAAACTATATAAATGCTGAAAATTATGATATTACTAAAACTCTAACAAAAAAATTATGTATACACCAGTAAGTTATTACGTATATTATTTACACATATAAAATCATTATTTCTCTTAAATAAATAAAATTTATTTTAAAATTACATAAATTTACAAGTGTATAAAAATGATAAAAAAAGCTAGAGATGATGCAAATTAAATAAAGTTCATTTAAAGTGATAAGACTTTTAGTTTCTATTTTAATATTTTGTTGGTATACTTAATAATTATTTATAATATCTTTTGGATTTTTTTTCCTTCAATATTATTTATTTATCGTATATTTTAAAGTTTGTTAATTATTAATTAAAACTTTTATTTTTATTATGATTTGATATTTTAATTATATTATTTATATTTTACACATATTTTGAACATGTAAAACTTCAATAATATTAATTTTTATTTTTATTTAAATTTAAATAAAACAAAAACAATTCGTATATCATACAGGTAGTAAGCTAGTTGAATAATATTATAAAATAATTTAATTGACGTGGAATTACCCACCACCACTTTTAATATTTTTTCTCGAATTTAATCGGAAACCATTCATTTCTCACATGATATCTTCTTATTATTGTCTTTGATTTTTAAATTAAAAAAAGCCTTTTAAAGTTTTTTAATCTTATTTTTAAAATTTTTTGTTTCTCTTTATGTATATGATTGTATTATAATTTTTGGAAAATTTTTATGATTTTTAATTTGTTTGTTTTTTCTTTACGTGTGTGATTGATTATAATTTTTTAAAAACTTTTTATGATTTTTAAAATTTTCTTGCTTTATTCTTTAATTTTATCATTTTTTGAAATTTTAGATCATGTGCAATTGTTGTGTTCTTTTATAATTTTTGTAATTTTTAAATTTAAAAGAATTATAAATTAAAAAGAAAAAAGAAAATCAAATTTTAATGAATTTTAATAATAAAAAATTCTTGTTAATGTACAATATCATTTTCATCTATCTATATATATTTATAAAATTTATTAAAATTATTCCCCTTTCTCAATTTCAATAACACCTAATATGTAACATAAAAAATAATTAGAAGATTAATTAAGGCATAAAATAAATTGGTAGGGATGATTTGAAAAAAAAAATTTTGATATATTTTTAAAAATTTTGAACACAAAGCAATCAAATTTTTTCTTTATTTTTGTATTTTTGTATTTGTATTTGTATTTTGTTTTATTTTTTATTTGTATTTATTAATTTGCTTATTAATTGGTTTATTTTTTTTATTTACATACATTTTTTAAATTTTATATTAGGAACCTGTTTTGATCATTTGACAAACATAAAAAAACTAAAAATATATATTAGACAATTAAATTTATACTTTTATTTATTTGTTTGTATCATATAAATTTTAAAAAAATTGAAAATAAATAAACATTCTTCCAATGATGAAATTAAAAGAAACTTGCAAATGGTACTTGAAATCCCTCAGTGAAGAATTTTCTTAAAATCCTACAAAAAATGTTGGAAAGATTTTGAAAGTTTTTAAATAAAAAATATTTTATTTACTTATTAATAAAATATTTAGTAAAAAAAAGATTGGTTTAATAAAGATAAAAATAAAATAAATTTGTTTCTATAAAATTTTAAATTAATCTAGAGTTTCTTCAAAGAATATGAATTTCTTAAATACTCTTAAAGTTAGAAATTTTGTTTTGGAATTCTATCCAATATTTAAGAAAACCTAAATTTTTTTTAATATTTCAAATAATAAAATTTAATTAAGAATAAAAGACTATTTAGATAAGTCCTTT